CCGGTGAGAGTCGCCGGCCACTAGCTAATTGCACTGACCATCCAGTAGTTTTTTGGCTTCCTTTAGGCAGAAAAACAAAATTTGTGTTATTGGGGGAGGGAGAAATGTGTCCTCTTGTCCACGTAATGTGTCCTCTCTTCCACGTACCAACTCGATGCAGATCTTCCTTTTCACACCATAAGTCCGTAAATGAGTCCATCTATTTATTCTATATAAACACCTTTGCTGTTGGGGTTTGATTGAGCGGAGCCTACGACCAAATTGAGAGAGAGAGCGAGAGAGAGGGCGAGTGGAGCAATGAAGAGCTAAGAGCAAGTTGAGAGACATGCCAGGTACTGCACTTTATTTCTTGTCTTTGCGGTCTATTTTCATTTTCTCTTAACCTAAGTCTATTTTCATTTTCATTTGCCTTTAAACTTTTTCGAATTTTATCATGTTGTAATGCCTGAACAGACAATGATTTAGATAAAACCTTTTTTTACGTCCATGACCACTCATGAGCATTAAGTAAGAGCTTACCTTGCCATGCGCTTGGTCTCGTTTGGTTCAATACATTATCGGATTCCACTAGAATTAAGATTCTAATTCCAACTATTTTCATGTTCGGAGAAAAATCAGAGTACGGATTTGGATTTCGAATGGAGTAGAATTTCACAAAAAAGTGCATAATGGGATTAGCTGGCTATAGATAGGATTGAGATTTCATTTCACTTTTTTATAAGTACAAGACTATAAAAAATCGATTCCACCACTAAACGCCGTCGCATGGAAGGCAGCTTAAATTAATTAGAATAGGAGAAACAAACATGTCATCCCAAACTCTTCATGCAAAACATGTTATGGGAGCATCACCGTGATCGTTCACCCAACAAGTATCGTCACAATTGCAAATTATATCATGATATTTGTTCTTGATAAGGATTAATGAAATTCATAATACTCTATACTAGATACTGATTGGCGAGTGCGTACTTTTCAATTGTGCGTGATTGCGCATGCTCCTTTTTTCCAACGAGAACCTCTGCTTTGTGTTGGCTCTTTGTTTTCTTCTCGCTCTTAGTCAGGTCGTCATATGGGTGGATCGGGTCAAGTTGAAAATAATCCAACCCAAAACAACCCATTTATAGGCAATACTAGTGACCCATACTCGACTCGTTGTTTTTAAAATACATCAATATTTGATTCATTCTATGAAAAACCGTACCCACTTATTTAACCCAATTTAAGCTCTTCAAGTGTATATGTTAATTGGAATTCATATCAAAATTTTAAAAATATAGATATTAGCACAGTAAAATAATGGCAGCAAATATAGTAAAAATGTCAAAAAATGTGATCTCAAATGGAGTTCAGGAAGAGTGGCACTAGAGCAGGCTTCAATCTTTCTTATCTCTCCTTACCTTTTTACTTAATAATGTGTTCTCGTTCTGAATATTTCTTGTCTTTTTCCTTTTGTACTGTCTTTCATAATATGGGTAGAGAAACATTTTGACTCAATTAAATTTTTTACGATTGCACTTAAATTACCCCGTTCATGCACACTTAATAAGATCTCATGCACAGGATAACGACATGGCCCCAAACATGATACTTTGAATAAAAGACATTGTGACTCGACTACAGAATCTACAGCATCCTAAATAAGCGTTTTATGGGATATAGAATTAATTTACTAAAATGAGTCTGAATCATATTTTATCCTTCCAATCATTATTAGTGGTTACCCAAGATTACTCTGGTTTACTCTTTTGAATCCACGCGTTGCGCTGTCGTGATCATAAACCTTTTTGACAAAAAAAAAAGTGGATGCAATAAAATTACCCTAGAAATGTGCGATAATCACTCATATTCTTAATTTTCACACATAAAAAGCAAGATCACTCTAATACTTTTCACTATTAGAGGGAAAAACCAACTCACGAAATCCAATCAAATTGGTATATCCTGTTGAAAGTTTGGATTCACTCACTTATTTTTTGAAAATGCCCTTTTGTTATCTTAATAGAAGAAAAGGCCAATCATAAATGTAATATTGCAATTTATGTGGAACGGTAGAAATGTTGAGTTCATACTAAAAGAAAATACTTAGCCATAACAGATTAGAAGCTGTACGACTTAACTCTAACATAATTACTCTGATATAACCGGCTCTTTTAGTACCTCCATATTCATATGGTTGGTAGTATCACTCAGTTCATTCAACTTTAGAAGTTAAAAGGATGCATAATGATCTAATGAAAACGTTGAAGTCCCCACGATTACACAATTATCACTCGCTTAATGCAATTCAATATTAATTTGGCTACCATTAATCTTATCAAGCGGATTAGCGGAAATAACTCTCACGCACATGATCTCGACATGAGGGCAGAGTCAGAGGAATTCCTAGAAAATTTCTTTGGTCCTTTTCTCCTGTTAAATGAGGTTTTTAGTATGTTTATAAAAAGATGAGGTTTTAATATAATGCCAAAAGAAAAAAAAAGGGTTTATAGCTGTTTTTTTTTCATTATTACTTCAATATGTAATTAATAGTTGATAAGAGCACATCATCACGTTCATTCGACCTCAGCAGCAATTATATGAGAAATGCAGCTGGATAAGAGTCATTATTATACGGTTTCACAATGTATATTAATAAATATCAACACTTTATTTTCCCCCTTCTTCTATGAGAATCTGTATAATTAACATTACATGGAACAAATAAAGCATTGACTAATACTAGATATATATTGATACTTTTATAAAATTTAGACAAGTTGACCATATTTAGAAACTTATAAAACTCTACCACATTATTCGATATTTAGGAACTGAATATGAGGCTTCTACCTTGGAAATCAATTATCCATAATGCAATCAAATTGTTTCATAGTATTATTGATTTTTTATGACATTTTTAGTATCTAGAAAAGTAACTCTTTGAATTTTCCATCTATACGAAACTTCATTAAAAAATATAACAAAAAAAGAGAATCTCAACGAATTTCACGTATCAATCAAAGTATGCTTTAATCATAATTACTCGAATAATTTTGTATTACATAAACGGCCTAAGTTTTATAAAGTGATAACCAAATCAATCACAGTATATGAGTGGCTCTTTTTTATTAATATACATCTTCCGAAGGTCAGGTCGCAAAGAGTAGGGAAATTTTATAATCTTCACTTTGTCCCTTTCGTGCTTGGGGCCTCAAGACAATGTTCACACTCAATCTATAATCTTTTACAGTGAAAAACATTTTGATTTATCGTAGTAATTTTCAATTAACGAATGTTTATTCGTTAGGAGGGTCTTTTTCCTACTTATTCAAATACTTCCAATACAAGAGTAGGCATAGATATGGGTGATTCAACAAATTATTTTATCTATTTATTGTCAGACTCAAAAGTCTACGACCAAATTTAGAGAGAGAGAGGACCGGTCTGGTCGTCGGACGCCGAACTTATCGGTTGTCAGTGGCCATTCCGTGTTGTCGATGAGAAGTGTTCTCGTGTTGTAATCAAAATTGTTTGCAATCCTAACAATTGAAAAAGAAAGAATGAGATTCCTGGGAATGAAAATCCGAATGAGGATTCCCTATCATGGAACAAAACGAGACATTATTGGTTAATTTGGAATCTATTACATAGAATACTTGGCACTGAAAGCAAATACATCAGTCAGTGTATCGATTTAATAAATCAGTTTATTGAAAAATAATTAAAAAATTCAGAAAGCCAAACTCCAAGACACCACTTCACAAATTAATGCAGAGAGGAGAGATCAACAGACTCATTGATAACATACGTCCCAGGATATTCATGTAAGAGAGGTTTCCCAAAGCACAAGAGGAACAAAGACATACTCGACAAGTGTTCCAGGCACTCAAACTCAAAAGAACTCTACAGTCGTTCTCTCATCAGTGCTTGACAAACTGGATCAAAACTCTCTTGACCTCAGGCTTCTTCTGCTCCGTCTTGGGCACGGTGAAGGTGAGCACCCCATCCTCCATGCACGTCTTGATTGCCTCCTCCTTCGCGTTCCTAGACAGCCTGAACCGCCGGGAGAACTAGCCCCAAAACGCCCCACTCTGTGCCACTTCTCGTGGTCACCACGTCCACCACTCTTTTTACTATCTGCATCCACTGCTTCTTTATCATAGTATTTTCTACGAACATCACTGTGATTATTCACCCAACAGGTATAGTCACAATGGAAAATTATATCATAATTTTTGTTCCTTTAAAAGGGTTAATATAATTCATAACAATATTTTTATAACTTAGGAAAACAACCATAATTAACTAGCTATCTAAAGGAGAATTAGCACAGTAACCCACCACTATGACCTCTACTAAAATCTAAGTTTCTCAGGGCAACAATCGAATTCTGTGCCGAAAGTATTGGAATGCGCATGCAACTAGATCGATCCTGGGGAGGGTATCTTAATTGATGAGTTATATGTCTGGGAATAGATAATTAGCATAATAAGCCTGTAGGTATTACCCTAAATACTTTGTTGTGTTATTATAAAATGTCTGTTTAGTGCCATACTTAATTTGGTAGAGAGCTCTCGGATTGACCTTCGTGACAGGACAAATCATCACTGTAGTCCTGCGATCGTGCTCGTAATTGAGGCTCCTCTTCATGGACATGCGGTTCATGAGTCTATTTTTATTTACTTCGAACTCATGATCGCTCCGAAATGTCTAAGAAGAAAACTTAAAAGTACTTTGTGAATCAATTATGCTATTGATATAAAGAAACCCATCCTTCATTATTCAACAATGTTATTATTATACTTGGGGCCCTTATCTGTTTTGAATCTAAAATCCCACAAAATTCTGATTGATTGCTGACACAAAATGTCTTGCGTACTTACCGTTACTCTCCACTTGGACTCTCAAGACGAGGCACACGCGCTTCAGCCAGCGACTACGAAGGCTCGAAAGTTTTGAAGTATAAATAGCGGAGTGCCTCCGTTTCCCAAAAAAACAATCTTTCGGCATACACAAACATGAGGGACTTGCAAAGAAGCCAAGTGGGAGTAAACGACCCCCTCACCAAGGCCACCGAGGTCATGAAGAAACTCGACTCTCCGAAGGCAAGTCTTGCTAAGATCGAATTTCTCGTGTGCCTCACGGCATTGTTACTATTCTTGCTCCCCATCTTAAGCTCGTCAAGGCGTCGGCACAACAACGGGATGCTCAAGATCGTGTTATGGGCAGCAAACACCCTCTCAGGCTCCCTCATTACGTACACGCTCGGTCTCATGACTGAAGCATCGTTCCAAAATGAGCTGCTCCTGATTTGGGCCACTTTCTTGTTAATTTTCTTCGGGTGCTCAGGCTCCTTCTCTGCCTACAGCCTGGAGGACAACGAGCAGTGGAAGAACTATTATTGGCAATATGGGATCAAGAGTTTCTTGGTATTGACGGTGGTTATCGTGCACGGCGGCATGGCACAGATATCTTTGGCGGGAATTCTTCTATTCCTAGTGGTGCCACTCAAGTTCAGTGAAAGATTAGGGTCTAACATTATTGCATGCGGGGATAGCCTACTGAGAACCACCAAATTGATCGCAGACTACATGAGCTCTGAACACCGGTTGTCGGATACGTCCTATCCCGACCCTATCGAGATGAGAGGATACAAGTATGTTGTGAGAGGTGAAGAGACAAGATTGATAGATGGTTTTGGATTTACAATCTTTAAGAGGCGGAAAGAGAGAGAAGCTGCAGCACAAATGGAAGGGCCAAAGTACCGCAAGTCATTGAAGATCACGGACCAAATCATCACGGTCGAGAACGTGTGGGCATGCCAAGGATGGCTTTTGAGAGGCGGGGATGAAGACAACAAGCTCAAGGACATTTGCCTATCGTTTTCGCTCTATAAGGTTCTCTCCTCAAAATTTTGCAGCTATTCATTGCCAAAAGAAGCTCACGAAAAGCTGTGGAAGTTGATTCGGCACGGTTTGCTTGCAGAAGAAACGGGCTACGAGCGAGCATTTAGGGTCATTGAGCTAGAGCTTTCCTTTCTTTTCGATTCTTTCTACACCACTTACCCGATCATCTTCAAGCCGGGCTGTTGGCCAATAAAGATGATGGAGGTCTTGCTTTTGGTCATTGGTTCTCTGGTGACAATCGGGCTTTGTTTCGTGTGGTACAACTCGACTAGACCCCAATACCGAGTTCAACTGGCTACTTCGGGCGGGTTGAGCATCGACGTTCTCGTGACTTCGCTAATTCTTATGCTATTCACATGTTTGGAGCTTGTGCAGCTTTTCTTCATTGCCACCTCGGAGTGGGCAAAAGTGTCGTTGCTATGCAAGTACGTACAGACAAACTCGTGGCACGGGAACAAAGGGATCGAGAAGCTGCTAGGACTAATGTGCCGGACGCAATTACTGAAGCCTTGGGAAAGGAAACTTCGCCAATACTCGCTTCTCGAGTCGTATAATCACACCCCTTCATTCAATCAGCGAACAGCTGCCTTTAGCGATGTCAGAATGGACGGTCGAAAACAAAGCAGGACTGCCGAGTTGTCCTCGGAAGTGAAACGAGCCGTTTTCCATTTTTTTAAGTCGAATCCACGGGTATTGGAGAATGGAAAAGCTTCTTTGAGACTAAATCAAGTGGAGGATGAGCTCTCCTGGGCGTGTAGGCTCGAGACGCAAACTCAAGTCATAATTGTGTGGCATATCGCCACAAGTATTTGCGAACACGAGATGCAGATTTCAGATTCGAACTTCCACGTGGCCACATGCTTATCCAAATATCTCGCTTACTTGGTAGTATTTTCTCCAAAGTTATTACCTGATCACCCTTGTGATGCGGAGTATATTTTCTACCAAATCGTTTTCGAATCAAGAAAATTGCTTGAAGGATGCAATACAAAAGAAGAAAGAATTCGGAAATTGAAGGATATCGGTGAGACAAGGGATGATACAAGTAGAGTAATAAACCAAGGCGCGCGGTTAGGGCAGCAATTGTTGAATGTAGAAAATGACGCAAACTTTATTTGGAAGGTATTGGCCGAGTTTTGGGCGGAACTTATGGTGTTTGTGGCCCCATCAGACGACGCGAAAGCACATGCGGAGCACTTGGCAATGGGTGGAGAGTTCGTGACTCACTTGTGGGCTTTGGTCTCTCATGCCGGCATCGAGCGAGAACCTCTTGTTGAGCGACCGACTCTCGACAGAAGCTGAAGCTGGCCCAATTCCAAATGATTGTGATATTGCATGTGGATGGGATCCTTAGTGTGTCTCCTTTCAAATTAGCCAAGACAAAAGTTCGGATGCTCTGTTATAAAAAAATAATAATAAGTAAAAAAAAGCAAGTGGCTAGTGCTATCATTGAGTGGTTTTACTATGTACAAGTCTATAAATAGGAGGGTCCATGTTTTATGTAATTGAGATTGGATGGGTCGCTACATATGTTTCATTGAGTGTGATTAAAACTTTTTATCTATCTCTCTTGCTCGTTCGATGTTATACTTCTTCGGCTATATCTTTTGTAAGGATCTGTCCGAATGCTTGGTGCTTAAAAGCTATCTTTTGGGAGGTTATTTCTCTATGTAAATTGCAAACTATATGCACACTTCAACAGAACATGTCCACAAGAACATCGTGACAAACTTCTTCCAAAATGTTAAAATTTCCACCAGTGTTAATTTGCTACTTTTGGTTACTCAAAATGATGGCTCCGTACGTCTTGTTTACAGTCTTGCCAATGTCAACCAATGAAATGAGTCGAAGAACAGTGCGTAAGAAAAGTATTTTAGGTTGTACATTACATATTCGTCGTCCCCTAACCTATCTTCATCAAATGCCCCGAGGATTTAACGAAACATAATCATATATGATCGGGCACACCATATAAAATACCCACTAAATCCTAAAATGCATGTCTGTTGACATTGGTATATATACCGACAAGCCAAGCGTGCATTTTTGTAAAAATAAAAGTAAATAATAGATAATAGAAAAGGAGCAAAAAATGAAAAATTAATAAATCAAATAAAATAAGTAAATAAAGAGAGAAAGAGCCAACTCAATTTGGCGCCCAGCCCATCAATCATTTTGGTCTAAATAGAGTTAATTCAACTAGGCTCAGAGACCGATCCGTGAAGCTTTAAACAAGTTCAGCCGTCCATGAAGCGGGCTCTTTTTCTCTCTCTCTTCGTCTACAGAATTTGTAAACGAGGAATGCACGCGTAAGAGGGAAGGAGGAGCGAAACAAAATCGGTGCATGCGGTCGACGATGTCTGGGTTCTCTCTAGTTTCTCTCTCAACAACGACCTCAGATTCTCATTTAAAAGGAAATTTTCACTCTACGCCAATGGGGAGGACATGGAATGCATCACAGAGAACCATTTCTGAACATATGTTATACAATAATATGAACTGCTAATGTTAAATTCAATGAAAACATGTTATACAATGATAGATTTGTGGTAGAATCTAGTGTGAAAATACGACCGGTGGAGACTAGAGATATTGAATTGGAAGGAGTTTCTAAGAGTGTTTTGGTTAGAAATCCTAAAATTGTTGCTGTAAACTCTGATAAAAAACCAGAACAAGAATCACATACACATGAACCCACTTTAAGAAAATCTAGTAGAACATCTAAACATGTACAAAGGTATTCTCCGTCATTGCATTGTTTGCTTTTATCTGACGCTAGCGAACTAGAAAATTTTTCGGAAGTTGTGCAGGTTAGATTCTATAAAGTGGTAGTTATCAATACGGTATGAGTTGGATTCACTCGAGAAAAATAGAACTTAGGTGTTAACACAGATACCATATGGGAAAAAAGCAATGTAGAACAAGTGGGTGTACCGAGTCAAAGAAGAACCTGATGGGTGTAAGAAGCACAAAGCAGGGTTAGTAATAAAAGCTTTTCAGCAAAAGAAAGGATAATTACACGGTTATTTTCTTTCTAGTTGTGAAGTTCACTACTATCAGGCTAGTGTTGAGTATTGTTGCTGATGAGAATTTATATCTAGAGCAGTTAGATGTAAAGACTACATTCCTCTATGGTAATTTAGAAATGGATATCTACATGGTACAACTAGAAAGTTTTCAAGTTACTGGAATGTCACGACCTACCTCTCGAGGGTTGAACTCGATGAAGCGGATTTAGAGGCAAGTGTTCATGAGACGGTCCATATGACATATTATAAAAGACAGCTTTACCGAAGCGTCGATCTTTTAGTCATCCATACGGTCCATTGATCATGAACGTGGATTTTCCCTAAATCCATACCTCGTGTGACAGCGGATCGATTTTATCTTTTTTAGGAGTCGCCACTAGCCTAGGCCGGGGGTCGGCTAGAATACCCAACCGAAACGCGGGAGTTTCGTTTCGGTTTCTACGAAAACCAGAAATCATGAGTTCGGGGACTAGTTTAGGTTAATATTTCTATTAACGCCCTTTCGGTACCGCTAAACTTAACATGGTTGGTATCTAAATTGTCATGCATTTATTTTTTACCATTTTTCATGCCAAAATCTTAGTCCACTAGGTGATCATGCATCTTGTTTTTGTGTTTTCATTTTAGATTCTAAACTAATCCTATCTTAGTCTAGAAAGGAAAGAAACAAACAATTGTATTGAAAAGCATTGCGCAAAGTAAACAATCAAGGTATTAAAAGGACGAGCTAATTCTAAGTGCGAGAAAGTAAAACCCGCAACTCGTCGGGTCTTTATTACAACACAAATTGAAAACCCGAGACATGATTGGGAACGAATGAATTGAATACAAATTGAGACCGGATTGGACATCGGTCTATCGCCACCGTCAAGTGAATACAAATTGAGACCAGATTGGACATCGGTCTATCGCCTTGGTCTTTTACAATTTTGGACTATCCCCTCCATGGACCGCCTCTCGGGTGTCGGTGTTTATATCCATAAGATACATTCACGACAAACAATGCACAAAGGAACAACCAAAGAAAGGTAATGATGCAAGCAATTCACTAGTCAAACACAGGCCTCGGGATCAGCCTTTGCATTACATGCATTTCGATTCACCCACTCACTTAATCATCTAACATTATTTGATTAATGGTTAACAACAATGGGCTACCATTTGCATTCACAAAACGACAACTCATATCGATTAACCCCTAAAGTTGGGTTCTAAGTGACCATAATGGGCTACCCACCGAATATGCACCGGGCCTAATATACATCTAACAAACACATGCATAGCAATGAGTAAAGCATGCATTCAGGCCCATGGGCCTTGTTTCTCAATCAATCAAGCAATGAGAAGTGGGCCTCATAAGAGGACCACTTAATTAATCATTAATTACTAAATTCGGACCCATTCTGCTTGAGTATGATTAATCAACCTAATGATGTCAAAATGAAGTGATTCAGGTGTCATTAGAGAGCTTATGTCATGAGAATAAAAAGTCAAGAAGACCACTTTTTCTAATTCCCCACCGATTTTCAGGAAAAAGACAATTCTACCCTCGGTGACAGTCTGGACTCGGTTTGAGTTTGAATTCATAAAAAATTGCGGGAAAAATAGTGGTTGTTATCAAAATCCAGCCAAAATTTTTAGACAGCTAGGATTCTCCATGTGTGATAATTGTTATGTTTTGAGTTTTATTTTAAAGGCCTCCAAATTTTTATAAAATTCGGATTTCACCAGGGACTCGTTTGCAAATCAAGTTTAAGCCTGAAAGGACCTTATCTGAGAATTTTAGCAAATTGACCCCACAAAAATCGCTATTAGGCCCTCAAAATTTTTAGTCTACATAATAAGGCCCTAATGAACAACTTTGTAGTTTTAAGTTTTCGCAAAAGAGGACTAAAAGTTTATCAAATTCGGAGAAACATATTTTAGATTTCAAAGAAAGGAAAATCAGATCAGAGCATAGATATTGACTAAATAATAAAAATTCCTTTGAAAATACAAATGAACTCAGAATTTGGTAAAATTTGTGTCACTGGAAAGATCTCGATCTCAGTGTGAACTTTCATGAAGAACATTTTCCAGATTTTGAATACACGAATTTATAAAAATCGAAGAACACATAAAGGTCAATCATAAACTTATCTGTCACCAGAACTATGCCTAGATGATGTTGCTAATCGTTCTAACCTAACATGCTTGGAATTTTATGAAAATTTTACAATGAACATATCTGAATGTTCTCGACAACTTTTATGACACTACAAAAAAACAAGGGATTACCGACGAATTTTGCGACGAAAAATTTGGTAAAATCCGTCGCAAATCGAATTTGCGACGAATTTAATGACGGAAAAAATTCCGTCGCAAATTTTGCGACGGAAAATTTCAATTTCCGTCGCAAAATTGTGACGGAAAAAAATTCGTCGCAAAATTCGTCGCAAATTAGCCACGAACACTATCCGTCGCAAAATTCGTCGCAAAATTCGTCGTAAATAATTCATCGCAAATTAGCCACAAACACTATCCGTCGCAAATAATTCGTTGCAAATTAGCCACGAACTTTATTCGTTGCAAAATTCGCCGGAAATTTCGTCGCAAAATTCGGCGCAAATTTCGTCGCAAATTTCGTCGAAAAGTTCGTCGCAAATTTCGACGCAAATTTCGTCACAAATTTAGTCTCACATTTCGTCACAAAATTCGTCACAAATTTCGTCGCTAAATTCGTCGCATAATTCGTCACAAATTAGCCACCAACTTTATTCGTCGCAAAATTTGTCGTAAAATTCGTCGCAAAATCCGTCGCAAATTTAGCACGAACTTTATTCGTCGCAAAATTTGTCACAAAATTCGTCGTAAAATTCGTTGCAAAATTCGTCGCAAAATGTATTCGTCGCAAATTAGCCACGAACTTGATTCGTCGTTACTTATTCGTCTCAAATTAGCCACGAACTGTAATGGTCGCAAAATTCGTCTCTAAATATTCGTCGCAAATTTTACACCATTTCGGCCATCAAATCTTGTCCATATCAATAGCTACGCATTAATTAACATCATGTAATACATTCAAAATAATCAAAGGACACGAGACAACCATAGATTCCGCTTCAGAAATAGAAAACGAACAAACTAGACACAATGCCATATAATTGAACAATATAACTGAAGGAAAGATGCTAGTCCGTAAAAAATAATGATATATGCAAAGTTGCAAAGTCTGACATGATGCTATTTGATATCCAATCTTATAATGCATTCAAAACATTCATAGGAGGCGGG